GTGACTGAGCTCCTATTAGCAGTACAACCGTACACATCTGCACACACCAATATATTTGCAATTTACTGTCAGTACGTCGTCACTCTTTAATATCACACCTTGTATAAGACACATGTATAATGTTAACAGTGCCTACTTCTTTATTCGCGTGGACCATTGTCTAAGCAAAATTTTTTTTTTAATCTTTGTAACACATTATTTATAAAAAAAAAATCTAAATAACACTTTCTTTTACGTAAGTATTTAGTGATGCTGCTAGAAAATCAATTGGATTATTTACAAATTGCATGTCGAGGACTCCAAATGAATTTATTTAAATATGATAACAAGTCTACATCAAACGTAAATTGTCTAAGTTCTTTAATTAACTTTTTCTCAGTCCTGAGTATCTGTAGTTAAATTTAAAACGAATATTTTTATGACAAATTGTCTAAATTTCAGAATTTTAAGCTTAAGGCATACCTGTATTATCGTGTAATAAACTTTATAATTCATTATTCAAAATATGTATCATGAAAAGATATGTGTGTTATCATTTGTATTATCACGACCCACATAATTATATAAATGCCATGATTTTAGATTACTTCTTTCAAAAACAGTAAATAATTTGGATAGCTACTAATTCATTTCAGAACTTATGTAACAATATGATTCACAGTTTCAAGTTTTTACTTCCGTTGGCAGTCCCGTGAGTGCCCACTGATTTTTTTACCCTTCAAGATACGTATATTTTAAATATTATTAACGCGGCTTTGAATGAATGTGTGATGTATATAAGTGTAAGTGACAAATGTAAGCATGAAGTTTAGGATGTTCTTAGCGTAGGTAGTAGGAAGTTATTATAAAATTATCGGAAGACTCGATGAAAGAGCACAGTCTTGTATTAGCCAGCCTAATATAACAGCTTATTAATTAAATAATAAAAAATTCATTCAAATCACGCCCAATCACCAAATACCTTTTTTTAAATGGTAATCGCACCATTTTGGATACATTGCAGTAAGATATTTTTAATATCGTTTTACATAAGGTATATTTTTACTTATATATTGTCTGACATAAAGTATAACTTTATACTTCGGTACTTAAGCACCCGTTTGCCACTGATTTTTACTAGAGTAAATGTATAAAATTAATTTGTAAATAATGCAAATTTTCATCTTTCTCTTATAACATTCTGAACTAAGTCTCTACTTTGAAATACTTTACTTCAAAAAATAACATGTAACTTTTAAATACTGTCTTAGAAAAAAACGGCTTATTATACAGCATGATGGTCGATGAAAACGCACTTTTTAGTTCTTCCACTTTCAATTTTACCGTCTGATTTTCTGTTCTTAGAGTCCTATAATATTCCTTCTTAGGTGTTCTTTTAGTGGATTTTGAATGGTGTTGGGCTTATGAGACAATTATGTTACGGATTTTTTTATGCTCCAGAAGACATTATTTGTACTGTTGCCTACTTAAACCATCAGTTATATCTCATTTTAAATTACCATTTTCGCCCTCGGGTGGTTTTGGGAGGCTGTTACTTCCTTGGGCGAAAAAGCAGTTTTCCGGAACTCGTTCGAAAAGTCTCCTTTACGAAGCTCGTTACGTCCCTCGCCTTCGGCTCGGGCCGCAAACGTCTCGGTTCGCAAACAGAGACTTTTCAAACTCGTAGGAAAACTACCATTGATACGTCTGAAAATCCAAGTAAAAAGCGGAACTCGTAGATTCGTTCTACAAGAAAATAAATTTGATTTTTGTGCACACACAGATCAACCTAACGGCTCAAAGGCCTTTTTCACTCTGACTTTACAGTATGTTGTTCTTTTTAATCCGTTGACTTGGTGTTGTGGTGTCAAGTTTTGTTGAGTGATACATATATGAAGTGGTATTAGAGTATGAAATGTTGAACTGGTATTCAACCTGCTATACATCGGTATGTATGAACTTTCGTCTGATTTAATGCAGTAGTTGCATATTCAGTTCGTCTTTTATTTTACATCCTTGTGAAGATCCTTGTTTAAAATCATTTGAGTGTTTCTTTTTTCTTTATATTCAAACTATCAACTAGAACTAAATTATAAAGAATACAAATTTTAAATTATTATGTTTGCGTTTAAAATGTTTTTAAAAAGTTCGATTATTCTTAACTTAACTTACTTCTGTAATTGCTGTTTAGCCACTGCTTGCGAGTGCCTAGTCATGGGATCTTTTACGTTTGACCTCAATGAAGTTTTTATCGTACAAAAGCATGTATCCTACCCCATCCTACAACGGTAATAGTAAGGAAGAAATGTGCTCAGTATTCGTTGCAGATTATCCATTGTGATCAATGTTGTAATTACTTATTGTTCACATTCTTATGTCTACTAGTGTAATTGATATTGCAAGATGAGCACTTCATGAGATTGTTTAGAGATTGCATGCATTCTTTAATTTTGTAATGTAAGCTTTCCTTAGAGAAAGTAGGTTATAGGACATGCGATTGCAGGAATAAATACATAGCTTGATGTTAAAAATCCCTAAGCACTTGATTTTCTTAATTTAAGAATGTAATTGAGTGTTTTGGAGTAAAAAATTTTGAGTATTTGGCTTGGGATTTTGCATAATCATTTTTGTCCCAAGTTTAATACTTACTTATATTTATTTCATTTTATTTTTCTTAGCTGTTGTACTCTGCATTTTTAATTTCCTCTTCTTAGTTATTTTTGTTTTTCTCTTTTATGTACATACATTTTCATTGCACTTACACACTTAAAATTAAGGAAGCCAAGATATAGGGAAATAGGGTGAACAAAAAGTTTTTGAACAAACGGTTATGGTAAGAAATGTGCTTAAAGTATGCTATTAAAATTTTACCAGCTAAAATGCACAAAATCATTAATTAATTAGAAGAAAATTTTTTTGTTTACCACTTTAACGTTTCATGGATTATTAGCCACCATTTTTCCAACACTCTAAAAAATATTCATCCATTATTACTGTAAGTATGTCGTAAAATTACTTGTTGAATGCGGTGAAAAGTCATGGTTTTAATAAAAAGTGGAAAAAACATAGTAATAATAATTACAACAGATGGTAGGGAGCATCTATCTTTTAGGGGACTTCAAAAGTAACATACTTTAATGTCAATCATTTTAAATACAATTTAGTCCCAAATTTTAGTTTCGAAATACAGTCGTTAAAAGAACTTCCAGATATCATATTCCACTAGATCCGTGTAATTCATTTTATTTTACAAATTCTGGAAATGGAATATTATTGTCAAATTTTGTGCAAATGCATAGCACTGAAACGTATTACTTTATTACTTTTAGAGCTCCCAGGAAGCTACATTTTCATTGCCATCCATTGAAAACAACATTGCCTTGTTTTTCACTTTTTTGTTTGAAACCATGACTTTTCGCCGCCTTTAACAATGAATTTTACAATTCGCTGACAGTGAAAATCGATGGAAATTTTTTGGGGTAATGAGTGGGATGGTGACTACCAGTGATTGGAATGCTTAAGTGGTGGACAAAAGAAAAATTAAAAAAAAAATTAATTTAATTAATTTATAACTGGTACACTTAAGGTACAAATATTTTAGTGGCATACTTTGTATATAACCTTTATGTTAATAGGAATTTTTTTTGGTTAAGAAACGAAAAAAAATCGATTTTTTTCTTCTTCTGTATATCTTGCCTTTCTGAAACTGGGGGTGCAATGGATATGGAAATAGTAGTAATCGTTTAACGGCCAAAACCCAGCCGTTAGTATACCAGTTGACACATCGATACCGCATTTACGCATTATTTCTTGGAATGTACTTACTTTATCTTCAAGTATTTAAAGAGTTTTTCTAGTATATTGTTTGTTGGTTGTTATTATTTTCTTATCTTCTTTATTCATTTTATTTTTCCTGGTACATAATTTGTTTCTTTGTGTTTATTTCTATCATTTCTTTAACTTTTGTTCTGCGTATTTAACTTTTGCTCGTGGCAACTGTTACTTTTTTGCCTACCAGTCCTACGATGCTCTGAAAATTTTTTTTCTGTGATTTGACTCCTCTTCAGATTTTTTTTCTTTATTTCTCTATTTACTCACTTCTATATTTGGGCTTCTCATTTTGCGACTGGACTTTACTCAATTTTTTCTTACACCATATACATCTTGTATCCTTAACGAGTTTCTTAGTGAGGCCTATACTTCTCTATTAATTCTAAGCAAAGTGTAGTAAAAAACATTAGGCTATGCAAGTTTTAATCAAGGTTAATATTGTTTTAGATAAGCAATAGATTTTTGTAATAAACAAATGTTTTTTTTTTTTAGTTCTAATTGTTGCCCAAAACAAAAATTAACAAAAAACACCATGACTTATAATGTAATTAAAAAATTTTGTTTTAAATTTTTATTTAATTTACCATTGTTAAAAAAAAAATATCACAAAAAACACAAAATTTTCAGTACAATTTTATTTTATGTAACAAATACAGAATTTTGGGAAACTCAATAATTAACAATTTTTTTTTTCTTCAAATTCTAAGGTTAAACTACTGAATTCTGTAGAAAATGTTAGCAATCGTCTCTAGTATCTAACTTTATTACATCATACCAAGATCACCTTACTGTGAAGAGTGCTTAGACAAAAACCTTTATGTAAAACTAGTTTAATACACACTTATGATCGTACACATACTTATGTACGTACATACTAATAGACTTTTGTTCTTAAGGGTATTTATGATTTTACAAATCGCAAAATATCTTTTTAACACATTTAGAATAAAGTTTTTGTGTTAGTCCAAAAGTACCATGTGAGAAAACAGAGAAAGTAAACAAAATTAAATTTAAGAAATGATTCATATTTTGAGACAGTTTTCTAGTATTTTTATAAGTCTAGTATTAGTGTAGTGCTGATCTTTTAAATATACATTGAAATGCCTTATTTATCATGGTAATTTTGTAATAAAATCATTTTTTTGTAAATATTTTTAATCATACATTTTAAATTACTATGTGTATGACAGTGAGTCCAGAAATTGCCAACTCAGCTGGAATAACTGTGATATCAACAATTCCAGCTACTACGTCTACTTCTGTTTGTACTTCAGTCGGAACAGTGAGTTCACCGCCTGTCCAGACACCATCTGATTTTAGAAATACTGTAAATAAGTCAATATTACAGTATCCTTCTGTTTTAAAGAGAAACAGTACCAGAACAACGGAAGAGTCATCCCTTCGTCCTCATCTTGTACCATCAGGCAAAGTACCACCACCTGTTCCACCTCGTGGCAGCGTCTCAGGCAAGGGACACACTGACTTTTCTTCTAGTCAAGGTGATGATGATTTTAATGTTGACCACAAATTCCATCATAATCAAACAGTTGGTGATCGCTTGCATGATCTGGATCACGTATCCTCAGTGCATGAGATTTTAATTCCATTTGGACCATACACACCCTCAAAAAAAACAATACTATCAAAACTAACACTTCCTGAACGTGACTGTACCTTGCTGCCCAGTTTTTACAATAGTTCACAATTTCAACGTTATGCTGTCCCTTCCGTAACTCCAGTGCCCTGTAAAGAAATCACATTGCACAGAAAAAATATTGAACTCTTACATTGTAGAATTAAACAACCAAAACTTCTGGATATTTTTGACGCAGACAAATTTGTAAGCATTGAAAAAATCGACGATTCATACGTAGTTAAAACTAGTCCGTATCCATTCAGGCCAGAAAGAAAAAAAAATGTCATAATAATCTGGCAGATATTACCATGAAATTTATAACAACATCACAACTTAAATCCACTAACCACGCAGTTAGTGGCTGCACACCATCATTTAGCATTGCAAAATTTACACATTTTATAAGTCCTGTGAAAAAAAACGAATTTATTTACTGGAAGATGTCAAGGAAAGACAATAAGTATTCAGAAACCTACGCAGAAAGCATGCGCAGAATTAACGAAAATCACAAGCAAACAAACGCAAAATCCAATAACTTAAAAGCTGTGTAGAGAGTTTCGAATGGATTGTGAAATCACTATCTTATGAGCTTCAGTAATGCTGAACAAAAATTATAGCATTATTGTGTTGAACATTAAACTACTCAAAGACTGTTATCATAGTTGAGTACCTGGATAAGTTCAATCTTTAGCATATTTGAGTCAAAGTACAAGAAATCTATTCGTATGTTTTTTGGGAATACCCTTTCGAAAGGACATGATAATAAATACTACTAAGAAACTAATACAATTCTCAATTAGTAATTTATTTTTTCAATAATCAGAAATTTTAAACACTGTATATTTTAAAAAATGCAGAAACTACTTGAACTAATCTTGAGCAGGCCACAATAATCTTATTATTATTTAGAACCTTATTATTTAAAAACATACTTTTTTTTGCATGTGCAAATAAGAATGGATGTAACTCTGTTCCTCTCTTGATAGTACAAATTGTAGGAAGTGCCTTATTTTTGAGTCTTAATATTCTTCTAGATAAGACTATTTGCTTGTATAAGCGTGCGTCTGCTACATATCAAGTCTCCCAATAGTAGTAGGCGTCAAATTCTTATACTTATGTAATTAATGTTTATGTTGACATTAATTCTTCTACATACATCTACTAACGTACACATTATTTTTTTTATTTTCTATGTGCAACAAAGATCTAATTTTTTATTTAAAAAATAGTAGTATAGCCAGGGAGATACGAAGCCACCTGGCCTTGTATCCCTCTAGTATATAGAGCCATTCTCCTGAACAGAAATCTATTGAGGGTACCTCCTTAGTTCGTGAGGACCTCTGTGGGTATCCTACAGCGGACCTACTGAGGCAAAGTAACGCGGCGTACTGCTGGTCCTCTTTAGGTATCCTAATATTCCTTAATAATCGTGTACATAACCAAACTTAAAGCAATTTTCCAGTCTATAAATATATGTGTGAATTTAATAAAAGCAAGGGACAGAAATAGAGTTAATCTGTCAGAGTAAGAGAGCTGCTAGATTCAGTAAATAAATTATGATGACAATCGTTTAATAAATAAAAAATAATCTAACCTATATATATATATATGTAAATTATTGATTAAATAAGATCTTTTGTCTCTCAAAGTACTTAAATTGCTTATGTATTTATTTAACACAAAGTATATATTAAGTATTGAGAATATAAGCAATGCCAGTACTTTTGAGATGCAATATCTTAAAACTATACACAATAGGCTTAAGTTTAATGCCAAAAGTTTATATTTTTCATCACTCTGCACATTTCCGTTAAATAATGATTATAATTGCAGCGTTAAAGTAGTCGTAATTTCTTTATTTATTGTACAGCACGTTAATGTCATTTAAACAAGTATACATTTTTTGCACCAATCTATTTTTTATTCTATATAATAAAATTATAAAACACCTGTNGAGGGAATGGTGAAAGGGGGAGCGAGGGGGAGCTGAGGGGTAGCTGGGGGAAGCGGGGGGAGTTCACTCTAATATAATTTGATCAAAAATGACGTTAAAACAAACAAATAACTACGTAAATCGAGGGGGAGCTGCGGGTATATATATGTGTATGTATATATATATAAATACTAGTGAGGCTTCGCCCCCCTGTGCGCTCCGCGTGCCAACTCCCCCTTCTGTTGTGTTATAAGTCAACATCAAATTTTTAAAGAAATAGTAAAATTTGAAAAAAAAAATTTTTCTTTAATGGTCCGGGTGGATCTCGAAAAACTTTTCTATACAAAACATTAATTTATAATTTCATATCAATTGAAAAAAAAATTCTTACAATGGCTTGGACAGGGATGGCTTCTATTCTGCTTCCAAAGGGAATGACTACTCACAGAACTTTCAGACTTCCTTTAGACTTAAGCACTATAGAAAGTGCATTCTTCTAGTTTTAGCCAGATAAACAAAAATTACGTAATGTAGAAGTAATTATTTGGGATGAAGCTTCTATGATACCGAAAAAAGCGTTAGAAATCGTTGATAGGACTTTAAAAGATTTATCTAGTAGTAATAAACCTTTTGGAAATAAAATAATAATTTTAGGTGGAGACTTTTATCAAATTCTCCCAGTAGTAAAAAACGGAAGCAAAATAACTATTGTTCAAGAAACCATAAAACTTTTCAATTTTCGGCCTTTATTTAACATTTTTTGTTTAAAAAATAATATACATTCAATTGATAAAAAATTTTCTTCATTGCTACTGGATATAGGAGAAGGCAAAATTAAAACTTTTATAATTCCTCAGACATGGAAAACAAATGATGTATGTTCTAAAATTTTTAATAATGATGATGATTCTTTTATAAGTAAAGCTATATTAACATCTCACAATAAATAAACTCACTTTTTGAACAAAAAAATTTTAAATAATATGGTAGAAACATTAGTAACGTACTATAGTATGGATAAAGCAAGTCACAAAGGAGTAGATAAATCAGACGATAATATTTATAATAATTTCCCTACAGAATATTGAAATAGTATTAAAAAAGGTCTTCCTTCACATAAATTAAATTTGAAAATTAACGCTATTGTTATGTTAATACCAAACTTAAACATATCTGAAGGACTCTGCAATGGTACAAGATTACGAATTACAAAATTATTTAAATACAACATCGAAACTGAAATAATCACAGGTGAAAAAAAAAGAAATAAAGTCTTTATTTTAAGAATAGCACTACAAACAAACAATTCTTCTTCGCTACCATTTATATTGTACAAAAAACAATTTTCATTTATCTTAGATGTTCCTATGACTATCAATATATCTCAAGGTCAAAGTTTTGATGCCTTAGGATTATACCTTAGAAAACCATTATTTTCTCATGGGCAATGAGAAGTTGCATTGTCTAGATGTAGAAACCCAAAACAAATTTTTATCCAAATTAAATCAGAAAACAAATTTGAAATTAAAAATATTGTTTGCAATGAAATCTTGGAGTAACAAAAAAACTATTCCATAGTTCATTACTATTTTTATACTTTCTTGCAAATTTTTTCTTTCATCAAAAAAGAAAATTTCCGTACCGTCTAGTACCTAGATTTATGTAATCATAAACAATTTGTTTTTTGTAATACGTTTTCAGATACACCATCATGGATGCAAAATTTTATCAGTGTGACATATGTATCTCAAAATATTCAAATGAAGAGTGCTTCATCACACGAAAAAATTCACGAAAAAAAATTTTTTGTATGCGATCTTTGTAGCATTATAATTTAAGACAAGAAAAACTATTTGCGTCACACAAAGGAATGCCAAAACATTGAAAAAAATTTTAAGTGTATTATATGCGAAAAAAATTTCAAAAGAAATTATTATTTACAGAGACATTTGAAAAGTCATGAAAAAAACGTTCAAAAAAATATTTGATAAATTGTGGAAAAGGTTATGTAGGAGCAGAGCACTTCAAAAGACATTTTAAAGTATGCAATTAAAATAAACATCGTAAGTAAGATAATTGTAACGAAATTTTTTGTTATGGTCAAATAAAATTATATGTGAAAATTAGACCACTTGTAACAGTTAATATATGAAGCTTTACGAATTTATTTACTATATATATTGGGAAGCCGGGGGGAGCTGGGAGGAGTGAGGAGGGGAGCTGGGAGGAGTGGGGAGGGGAGCTGGGGGGAGCGGGGTGGAGCTAGCAAAAAAGTAGGATTACTAAAAAAATGCAAGAAAATGAAAGATTAACTACCTTATTTGGTGGGAGCTGAGGGAAAGCTGGGGGGCGGAGGGGGGGCGGAGCAAAACCTTGCTGTAACTCTTACGACTAAATAATATAGGAATATATATATATATATATATATATGTACACGCAAACACTCTCTCTNTTAGCTAAATTGATGTGATAGCTTTATTTCTAAACTGATTTTTATAGTGTATAAAAGACTGATGCTGAATAACTCAATTACAATTGCTCTTATTGTTATGGCGAAGCGTTGTAATTTCTTTTTATGGTTTTGGTCATACTATAAAATTTTGACATGCGCATGAACCAATGGCAAGCTTATAATTCAAGCCTAACTATTTGAAGCATTGTTTCAAAAGCTCGATATTAAACCCCAAAATGGGAGGCGCTGTCGCTCATTATTTTAATTTTTCTAATGTTTATATATGTATTCTGTATTTTTTATCATTAAATTGACATTATTTTGTAACTGATGTGTGTGCCACAGCGCAAGCAATATCTTGTTTAGATCTGTTTGTCTGCAACATTCAATGTATTTACCCTCATAAAAATGTTTTTGTACACGTTTAAAAAATTGTAAATATTGTAGTACAAGATCCTTTGTAAGTTTTAACTAAGTT